CTTTCCCCTGATTTGCCTGGTGTCTTGCCCCACCTGACGCACAAGCCAGGGCGGCAGAGGTGCCCGAGAGGATGCAGGGCCCGGTGCCTCCGCAGCTCCCCCATTGCCACCCGTGCCCACTCTCAGGGCTGGGTTTACTCATCCATAAAATGACTCCTCGCAGGAGATGATAAAGATTTGATGGAACTTTGCAGGGCTGCCGCAGGTAATAAAGAAAACCTATGAACTACACAGCGTAGCACAAGTCAGTCAGTCTGATCGCCACAGTTTCTCGTGGTTGGTAGTAGTCTTGCCATCCGTGTCATTGCGGCAGCCTACCTGTTGTGAATTCAACCCCAGTGCGCCATGAGCAAGGCATTCTGTGTTTGCACACGCGGCTGGCTCCGTGTAGCAGCCACCAAGAAGGAGAACAGGGCATTAGTCTGAGGAGTCCAGAGAGGCTGGGGCTGTGTTCAAGGTCACCTGGCAGTGGGTCCTGGAACTGGGTGTGGAAACCCTACTCCGGTGCTTTGCTGCCTAGCTAAGCTGATTCTCCAGGTAAGAAAACGTTTTGCTTGCGTGTACAATTTTCCATTGTGCAGTGATGGAGATTCTAGGAAGCTGGAGGTACAGTGTGGGTTGTTTTGAAATGGTCTCATGCTCGGGCATTTCGCTGGATTGGAGGGAGGATGGACAGGGGCCCCTTGCACCCGCTGCCCCTGGGCAGCCTGCAGGGTGAGCGGATGCCACAGCCTCTCCAGGGAGGGCTGGGCGTGACAGTCAGGCGCACGCCACTTGTGCTCAGAGACCCACTCGGGGTTACTTGCATAATTTTATTCAATTCGAAGGATCTTTTTTCCCTGCAGATCAATCACATGTACAAATACATAGACTCATGTGCCGCAAAAGCCTGCGAACCCTGGAAATCTGCACTCCGTTCCTTTAAGACTTCTTTGCCTGAAACCAAGCAAGGCTGTAGGATGTTTATTTTTGAAAGATAACATCTATTAATACAAACGTTAAATATCGGGGCTGGGGGTGTGCCTCAGTGGCAGAGCACTTGCCTACCCATGCATGAAGCCCTGGATTCCATCCCCAGCCCAGGAGGGGAAAAAAGTTCCTTGTTGGTGTAAAAGAATTAGAAGCCACGAGTGATATCCAACTAGCCACAGGTTGCCACTATTAATATTTTTCATGTGTTTCATTGCAGATTGTATGTATTTTACTAGTAGGGATGATTTTATTCCTGTACCTCGATCCTGTTTTAGTACATGTTGGCTCTTTAGCAGTTCCCATTCAGTAAATATTCTCTGGATATATGATTTTAAATGACCCGATAATATTCTGTTATGCTGTCATTCCTTTAGGCAGGGGCTTAGCTGGGCATGTATTAAATCGTTTCGGGTTATAAATCACACGGCAGTGGCTCTCTTAGTGTCCTTCTCTGGTACTTCCCTCAGGGGTCAGTTCCTGGAATAGGACTACCGGTCAAAGGCCAGGAACCTTCTGAAATTTTTGGAGGGCTCTTGACAAATGGACAATGGAAAAATTGCACTCCTCCGTGCTCCGGGCCCTGGCCTCTCAAACTCAGTGACTGGCTTTGCAGTAGGAGCAGATCCTCGTGCTGGGGACCCCGCGGGAAGAAGCAGTTGCTGTCCAACATTTCGCCTTGGAGGGGCTGGATTTGCTCTGCAGGCACCCAGGGTGGAGGCCCCACCAATAGTGCGAACTCCCAGAGTCTAGCGCCAGGGAACAGGCTTTCCTACCCCACCCACCCAGCCCACACTGCTAAGCCCCTACCACCCTCTGAGGCTTAAGGACCAGGTGGCAGGATAGACCCTGAGTCCTGAGGACCCTCTCACTGGAACAGTTCTGGAGCTGACTGTCTAAACAGACATTCTGATATTGCATCACCCTGGAAAATCTTTGTTGTTTAAAAAAAAAAAAATTTTTTTTTTTTTTCATTACTAGGGATTGAGCCCAGGGCCTTCACATGGAGCTACTTCCCCATCCCCTTTTTATATTTTGAGACCAGATCTTGCTAAGTCACTGAGTTATGAAGGTTGGGCTGAAACTTCCAAGCCTCCTGTCTCAGCCTCCCAGAGTTCTGGGAGTACAGCTGTGTGCCACCTTTCCTGGCTTACACTGGAAAATCTTGGCTCTCTAAACCTCTGTTTTCTGAGCTGTAAAATGGGATTGTCTTGAGCATTAAATGTGTTTATAAATCAGTCTGAATTTGATCACTTTCCTGTTGAATATTAATATCTGCTATTCCTGTTGACAGTGGTGTGAATATCAGTATTAAGTTCTAATACTGATTCTGAGAAGGACAATTGCAGCAGGTAAGATCTAGGCTTTGCAGACAGGTTGGCCAGGGTTCAGTCTCTACTCACAGCCCCTGTATAGAAACAGGACTCTTACAACAGAGGCATTTGTGGGGCCTCAGGGAGAGCTTCGTGCACTTTTTTTTTAAAAAAGTAATTCAGAACGAGCTTCCTGTAGGACATCCACACAGGCATTTTACTTGCCTGCCCTTTAATTTTTATGTCAAAGTTAGAAGCATGCAATTCATAAAGGCCAGCAGGACTAAGTCCTATGGTGCTGCAGGCAACGCAAGGGTGGCTTGTGCTGGCTTGTGAGAGCCTGCTGTATGATTCTTAGGATTTTTGAGAGCCGATTTTTAGGCATGGCCTCTATTAAAAATTAAAGGGCATTAACTTGTAATTAAATAAATTATAGTAAAACTGAGTCACTAATATTAAAAATGGATCACTTCCTAATTGTTTTACTCCTCGGTGTGTTCTGGGAGTTACTGACGCTATTGCATCTGTGAGGTGGAAAAGTCACGTATTGGTACATTGTTGAGAATCGCTCTTCACTCTGCTTGGGGACATCAGTTCTTTAAGCTGAAAGGAGCGAGGCCTGGGAGATTTGATGTGTCCCACTGAAATGGACTAGTGTCACAGAGCCCGATCTTTTCCTCCTCCTGAACACGCAGTGAAACACCTATCACCTCATCTGGTCTCAGTCCTTGTCCCATGTGGCCATGGCCCCCGTTTCCTACTCCCCAAAGGTAGCGACTTTTAATCCTTTGCTGTTTTTCTTGTACTTACCCCATATTTTAAATTTCATGCTTTTACCCACTGGGTCTTGATGTTTATTTTTATTTATTTATTTTTCTTGGTTTTTTGAGACAGGGTTCCACTATGTACTTCAGGCTGACTACTGCGTAGCCCAAGCTGGTCTCGAACTCATGGTGATCCTCCTGCCTCAGCCTCCCGAGGGCTGGGATTACAAGGAGTGTGCCACCATACCTGGCAATAACTGTATTTTAAAATTTCTTTGATTTTTCTATAAAAAGTGGTTTTCAGGCTTCTTTTTAGCAGTGGAACTCATCTTTCAAATCAAGTTTTATGTGGAAGCCTATTGTACAAAACAAGGAAACCAGAGCTTCCAGGTTGAAAGGGGACCCTTCCCTTCAGGGCTGCCACTTGCATCCAAGCAGACTGTGCCCTGCACAAGCCTTAGGGTCACCAACCCCACGAATCACAGTAGGACCGTCACAAAGGCCCCACAGGGGAAAAGTATCCAAGTGGGAAAGAATCAGAGAGGAATCTCTAGAAGTCTGCGACACCCCAGGGTCACTCGCTGCTTTTTGCGGCTTTGGTTTGGTTTGGTGTTTTGAGACAGGGTCTCGCTGTGCAGTGCAGGTGGGAGGATTTCTGCACATTCGAGGCCAGCCGAGGTTACCCAGCAAGACCCTGCCTCAAAAATCAACAAAAATCCAATGCAGAGGGTTGCGGTGAGAGCCCAAGGTAACAGGGAGCCCAGTAAATCCAGGGCGACGTGGCTCAGTCTCCGTGTCAAGTCTCATTTAGGAAATCCTGGTCTGACAGCTCCAGGGTCATTGCAGGAGACTTTACCACCCTGCAGTATCCCTGGTGTGTGCAGAGAAGGGCTCACCCACCGCAGATGGGGGCAGTGCTCCCCCATCACAGGAGTTCATTGGATCTCCCAAAGCCACATGGCTAAAGTGTGGCAGAGCTGTGGTTCAAACAGAGGCCTCTGACTCCAAAGACTGGGCTTTCAGCCACAGGGCGCTGTGTACAGGTGTTCCAGATGTGCACTGCGCCAAGATGCCCATTCACGCCCTCTGCAGAATCGCTTGTGTGAATAGGATGGGGACTCAGGCCTCTTTGCTGACTCTGGATACAGCTCCCTGGGAAGAAGCTGGGAGAGGTGGGCATGGTTGTGCACTGCCAGGGCTGCTGCCCACTGGGCCTGAGGGCAGGAACATCTTAGCCTTTACCTGTTTCCATCTGGGGAAGGACAGTTTGCTCCAGTCGTATTTGGTCGGGTGAGGATCAAAGACAAACACGAGCACCTTGCAGTTCTGTTGTTTCCTCAGCTAGACCCACCCCAGAAACAGCCGCACAGGAAGTTTCCCAGGCTGTCCTGAGATGGGGCCACTTGAGGTCCCAGAGTCAGAAGCACTCAGCGCCAGGGGACGGGGCCACAGCATTTGTTAGGGTGACCCACTGTCAGTGGGATATGGGGTGACCTTTCCTGGACAGCAGGAGGAAAGAGCTTCTCCCTGGGCATTTTGGTTGGGGGCCCAGGGGGTGGGGCTTGAGGTTGAGGCTGAAGAGTCCTTTTGGTGCTTCCCAAAGCTGGAAAGGTCAAGGCCCTCCCTGGCCTCTTGGGAAAAGCCTGCAGCCCACAGCATCAAGGAACTCGGCCTTTGAAAGTAGGGGGGATGTGCTGGGGATGGTGGCGCACACCTATAGTCCCAGCACCCAGGAGGCTGAGACAGGAGGATCACCACAAGTTCGAGCAGCCTGGACTACATAGTGAGTTCAAGGCCAACCTGTACTACATAGTGAGACCCTGGCTCAAAAAACAAACAAATGAACAAACAAAAGAAGGGGGTGCTGGGGGACTCCACCCCAGCTGAGACGCCCGGCAAAAGGGTTGTCCTTTCTAGGGCTACCGAGCTGACCCCTCTCTGTCTTTCTCCACAGACAGGCAGGATCGAACCCAACTACCCCAAGGTGTGCGGCCACCAGGGCAACGTGCTGGACATCAAGTGGAACCCCTTCATCGACAACGTCATTGCTTCCTGCTCTGAGGACACATCGGTGAGCCGCTGGAGCCCCTCTCACAGCCCCTTCCCCTCTGTGCGCCGCATCCCCGTCCCCACTGCCCTCCTGTCTGCCCTCCTGTCCTCCCGAGCAGGCCCGACGGGGAGGACAGTCTGAGTCTGGAGGCGCCGACTCTGTGGGGAGACTTAGAACAAGACCAGCAGGTTTGTGGGGCCTCTCCTGCGCTCTCTGAAGGAGGCAGAGGTGGGAGAGAGGCTGTGGCAGGGAGGGAGGGACAGGAGGAAACGGGAAGCTTGGAGGGGATGTGCACGGGGGTCTTCGCAGGCTGGGCATGGCGAACATCCCCTGGCTTGTGCTCTGGGAGCTGCGGCTTCTGGAGAGGGGCACTGGGTGAAGGGGTCTGTAGTGACGTGTCCCAGGACCCACGCATGTGGTCTGGATTTGAACCCTGCAGGTTCCTTCCCTCATGGCAAGAGAGAAGAAGTAGGAGAGGGGAGCAAGGAAGAGGGAGCAGGGAAGAGAGGAGAAGGAGGTGGGTGGAAAAGCAGGACTAAGGAATCCAGGGAGAGCAGTATTCGGAGCTGCGGTGTCCCTGGTCCTGGGGCTCTGCTGGGTTCATGGCTGCAGCAGGGCTGGGGTGCTGGTTTGGCTCAGAGTTCTGGAGAGGCCCCTGCTGCCCCCGCTGGCCCTGACCAGCCCCCGAATGCCAGCTCACAAGCAGATGTCAGAGTCAGCTGAGGAGGGGCCTGGCGCTCCCAGGCAGGCTTCAGTGAGAGCTCCTTGGCATAGGATGGGGACAGGCCATGTCCTGGGATGCTGGAGCAAGAAGGGGTGTCAGTCTGCACAGGCTACACTGTGGCAGAGGCCGCGACCTGGCTGGTTCTGAACCTCAGGCATCCGGCATAGGGCCCAGGACCTAACATTGGCTCGCTGTGCTTGGGTGTGCATGGGTGGGTGGGCGGATGGAGGCTTAGAGGCAGGGGTATAGGAACGGATGAGTGATGGATGGAT